GCTCCTTCTGGCACAAAGCACAGCTTGAGCTAAGTCACACGCAGGGACTAAGCTGCAGATGCTCTTTAAGGCAAGGGTTTCTGCAGAAAGAGGGAGAAATTACTGAGAAAAGAGATGCTGCCCTAGAAGTCCTGCACAAAAGAAATACTCCCTAAATACCATTCTAGTCCTGGCAGACCCACGTTCCCGTTTTTCCAAGAGTGCCTTTGTTCTACAGCCTCCCTTTAGCACTGGAGAATGTGTTAAACGCTGATTCACGTTGGGCTCGTCCGACCCTTGTTTTCCTCATAAACTCGCAGAGCGGATTTTTCGTAAGCTCTGCTCCGGGTCTCGCTCCGCTCCCGCCGAGCTCAGCCGGGGCTGGCGAATCTCCCTTGAGGACAGATTGCCTTGTCCAGCAAATTGCTGTAACTGTATGAGTCTGCTTGGTAGAAGGGGGCTAAAAAAGCACCTGTTCAGCAAAAGAGGAAGATAGAGCTGCTTACATTAAATGCTCTTAATCAGATGCTACAATTCCTTGATTCCTCTTATTTCAGGAGCATCATTTGTGCTGAGTGTTCACCACCCCCAAAGAGAGGGCAAGAACCCTCAAGAGGGGATGAGAGCTCAGCACACGCTGCCTTTTACCTCCATCCTCCTCCTTGCTGCCGAAAGCCAAAACGGGGCGTTTTGATCCGCAAAGAGGCCGTAGAGGATGTGGTTGCGTCCTGGACGCCCGGCGTTCCCGGCGCCGCAGCACGGCCTTTGGGAATGGCGCTGGGAAAGGCTGAGGGTCTCCTGGGGAGCTGCAAACAGAGGCAAAACTCACYTCCCTTTATTTGGGGACGCTGCTGTCTGTGGCTCCCACTCAGATACCTTCTGCATTAATTTTCATATATGATTACTTAAGGAATGTATATGATTATTTAATGATTTTTTTCATATATATATATGATTATTTAATGGTAAAGACCAGCAAAAGAACTAGTCCTTGCCTTTCTTCAGATTCATTTGCAAGTTCCCTCCTCGAGCGAGTCCCATTACCCAGTTTCAGAAAGTGAAGTGACTGGGCATTTCCTCAGAATCCTTTAAATACTCGGCCCCGCGGTTCGAGCTGGGCATTGTTTTAACCTTTCATTTTTTTCCACAGCCCCACTGTGRTGCCTTATGGCCACTTATTCATGCCTATTTCTAAAGGGCACTTCTGGAAATCRTGACCTAGCCCAGCAGTCACACGCCAAGTACCAGCTGGGTGGAAAAATGCTTCCACACTCATCACTTTCCCAGTAAATCACCCTTTTGCCTCAGATTTCTCTTTATAATGTGTAAAAGATGCCCTGTAGCCTCAGCTGTACACCAGCACTCTCAGGCTGGTCCCTTAGCTGTCCCAGGCCAAACCCTACGTGCTGGAGGACAGATGAGGCTACAGCCCGTGTCAGTCCTCCAGAAACAGGAAGAGATCAGAACCTGGAAATACACTTGGCAATAATATTTTATATATTTGGAAAAAACTGGAAGAACCTAAGCAAGATTAAGAATTTTAAAAAAAAGTAACAACCACCAAAATAAACCAGAGCTCTGGGAAGGATATTAAGCCTCAGGAAGGGCTGATTGCAGTTTGGCAGAGAGTGACAAGGCTAATGAAGTGCCGGGTCTCCTGCCATGTCCATCTGCCTTGCTCCGAAACAGCTGGTGCTGCCCCAGCATCTTAAATAAGACTGGAAGCTTAAGCTTCGCTGGAAGCTGCCTCTGCTTTGTCCTGTGTCTGATTTGTCCTGGTATTTYCCCTGGTTCTGCAGGATGGGATGGGAGGGCAAAGGGCACAGGATAAARTCTTGGATCAGCACCACTATAAAGCCAACAGCAGACCAGGTCATCCCAGCAAGGCTAACTTGCTTTCAACTGGGACAGCACTAGGTGGTACTGGCCAGATACGATGGGATCTTCTGGTGGTTTCAAACAAAGATGAACTTGCCACCACGTCACCAGGAGCAGCTCCTCTAACACACCAAACCAAAGAGAATGACACTGTGCCCTCAGGTCTCAAGTTTTGCCAAAATCAGCCTCTTAAATCCAAGCCGGCACCCTGTTTTTTCAAGCCTAGTTGCTACTCCCACTCATTCGAGAACTTGAGCTCATTACACATCTTCAGACCTGCTTGTGTGGCCTATGGGGCTTCTGCACACACACGCATCCTGGGCGGATAAGCCCTTCCACGGACACTACAGATAGTGCTGTGATTAAGAGTGGYAATTAAACTTCTTATATTGGAAACCTCTTGCCTCCTCTTAAGTGCTAGCAAAGGCTCGCCTGGCAGGGAAATTCCAAAGGGGTGGGAGAAAGTTAGTTTTCTGCCAGTGTTCAAACACGGCCAGGGGCATGACTTGCAAGATTATCAACTGATTAGCTGTTATCTTCATCTCAGTGTAAGGTATGTTAACAAAAAAGAGCTATCACTACATACGGAAAATGAAGGTGTTCCACCTTGGAGATACAGAAATGAGTTTCTTGGGAGAGTTGCTGTAGGCGGCCACGGGCAAGACAAGCCTGTCTCAAACCTATAAAATCCTAAAGAGGCTTGTACTATGATTTACATCCTCAGAAACATCCTGGYGGTGTTTGGAAAGCGGTGCAGAGAGCTTGCTCGTTCTGCAAACCGAGTTGCAGGGAGCAGCCCMGGGAGGCTGGAACAGGGGCTCAGCAGCGAGTCTGCCTGCTCGGCACGCCGGGCTCCCCACGAGGCTTTGGGGAGTTATTTGTAACGCTGGAAAGCGGCGATGGCAAAGCTGCTGGATGCTGGGGGGCCAGGTGATGCATCAAGTAACTGCTGCTCCTGCTCTACAAGTTAATTCTTATGATGGATCCTTAGGCTGCCACTTCTGGATAAATGCTCACTGGTTTTTGGGGGGCATTAGAGCCTGCTCCTAATTATGCATCATGGCTCATGCATCTTACTGAGTGCCAAGAAAGTGCCCTGGATGAATAGAGAGASGGACCACTGCCAAAAATGCCTATGAACAGATCTAAGAGTGAGGAGGCACAAGACATTTCTAGTCCCAGCACTGTGGGGGTAAACAGTCTCTTTAGCAGCATCATGTTCTCAAGAACCGAGAGCCCAGCATTTCACAGGGCTTAACATTTCAGAAGAGGCTTCAGCACGGATTTATCCTGTGCAAGAGGACTTGCCCAGTCACACCAAGCTTTCTTATTTCACTGCCTTCCTTCTAGGGCTGCTTACAGGTAGAATCATGTAGTAAGAAAAGCAGGAGACGGATGTTTTGTGCATTTCAACACCAGGGAGAAATCACTGTCTGCACAAGAAGTCTTTGGCTTTAGTGCTGTTAAAGCCTTAACTGGCAACAGGATGCAGTGCCTGTAAACCTGCCCACACAGCTGTGAACTGCAGTGAAATCCCACCCTCATTTAGCCCTCTAGCTAATCAGCTTCAGGTCCTTGATTRAGGCTCTCGGGAGAGGGATTTCATTACCTAAAAACACTGCTGCAGCCCAAGCCATCATTAACATCACTGCTGTGAAGGACAGTGGGCACCTTGGGTGACAGATTTTTCACAAAGGAATAAAGGAGATGAGAAAGCTCAGCGCTTCCCACGCTTGAGAAGGCGGAATTTTTAGGCCAGTATGTTTGCTTTTCTCCAAGCACTCCTGCTGCTACGTTCCACAAAGCATGCGTTTGCTTTAGCYTTTGTGTCTAGACACTCATGAGAATAGCTATGGCCTTGAGATCCAAACCGTTTCACCCTCCTGGTCTCATAGGGAATAGGGGAGGAATTTAAAAGAGTGTGTGGAAAGCCTGGAAACCCCCTGGCATCCCATTTGACATTTTGCATGGCTCGACTGAAGCCTTTTTCTCTTTCAGCAAAGCACTTCACGAGGCACAAAGCTCTCAGACTCCCAGAGACGGCCAAGKGAAGGACACAGCCCTCAGTTCATGGCCAGCGCTAACCCACTTCTCTTACACACCTGGGACTGGCTGCCTTGYATGCCAGGCAGGCCCTGGAGAAAATCTCATGTTTATAATAGCGAATAATCCTCAAAGGATCCTCTACACTCACAGAGTGAATAAGAAACAAGCAGCAGGTCATTGGATTTAGAGGTACCTAAAGAGAGCTCTGGTTTTTGGGGGGTTAGATCCACTGCAGCACAATTCTTTTGGGAYGTGATGCTGACATTAGCACCATCCAAATTCAAACTCAGATGCCACATTATATCATCTGCTCTAGCAATGGCAAGTAACAGCAAGCAATCCCTATCAGATATTGGAATGATTTCACCAGCCAYCTCCCTGCCCTCGGGAAAGCTGGTAAAGGGCAGCTCAGATTCTCCAGTTATCTATTCTCAACTTCTGGTTTCCAACATTTCCACTGGTTATGAGCCTCTCTAAGAATCCATTGCCTTTCAACATGCTATAAAGTGCAAATAGCAGCTCTCCCCCTTTTTCTTCTGCACTTAAGTGGTCTTTCTCACTAGGATTAAAGCAGCAGTTATTTAATCTGGGCTCCTTTAGTGGAAGTGCACAGCAATGGCTGAATGCATCAAAGGCCATTCAAGACCCGCTCTCTTCTGCTTCATCTTTGTTTTTCTTTTCTTTAGCATTACCTTTGATAATGCTTTTAAAGACACACCAGCCGCTTCTGTAGGGAAGCACTTCATACCTGCCTTTGCCACAAGCCTCCAGACTTCTGCCTGCCACCAGAGCCAAGTGCAAGAGTTTGCACTGACTTCACCTTTTGCAATTCTGGATTATTATAACACAAATAAAAATACAGAAAAATAATATCCCACTGCTAACAGGTAGATCACAGTCAATGAATGTAAGCAACTCCATTCTAAGGAGGAAGAAAAAGAGCTGATGTTAAAGACACCCTGTCTTACTCCCACAGAGGAGATTTATGTGGCATTTACGCACAGATTACGGCCAAGAGTGACTGAAACATACAGAAAGCAACAGCCATTGCCAAACCACTGCAAAACGCATCCATTTGTTTTTAGAAAAGATAATCAGAAAAATATTACTAATATGTCAACAGAATTACAGTTGGTAGCCACATGAGAAGTGAGCCACTTGACCGTGAGCTGCCTTTTTGTTCTTGCTTGCATCTGCAAAACCACTACATGGCCAAATACAGTCATTGCTGTGCTTAGGCTTGCATCAGTTGCTTCAGCAGGAGAGGTTCAAAGGAGTAGGAAGCTTTATTGCATACTGATTGCTCCCTGMCTAGAGGTTCAGCCTTCGGCAGAGAGAGTACAGAGAGGACCTCGATTCCCTCTGACCACAGAAGATACAAATAATTCTTACCATTAGAGAGACTGGCACAGTAAAAAACAGCAGCGATTTTGAAGGTCACATCCTGTGAAGGATACCCAGGACAGGCAGTCTACCACTGTGCAGCTGCTGGCTTCTGTATCTGCATTTATCACCAGTTACCACGAACCAAGGTGCCAAATGAAATGTGAATGATAATCATCACTGGCTCTTCACATCACACAGGCAACAGGCCAACATGGCCAGTAACACCACGCAGAAACCATGGGGGAGGAACAGAGAGATATCATCTGTGCTCAAAGGACAGCCATCCCCAGGCTCCCCCTCTCCTTTGGGGGTCACCTACCCAGTGCCTTCAAGGGACAGTTTCACCACACTGGCCTCTGTTAGATTAACAAACCAAGAATCACAAAGCAATACAGTAGAAAAATAAGTCCTTGGCATCTGCAACAAAGCGTGCATTGCCAAGGAGCCTTTACAAAGTCTGTGCCCTCAGGTCAATGACTTAATACACAATGCAAGGTATTTTCCCTCCCCSCTCACAGTCAGAATTCTTTGCTCAAGGTTTTGTTTTTTGTTGTTTTTTTTTGTTTTTAGACACAGAAAAAGAATGTTTGTCTCCAAACGCAGGAAAGAATCAGGTTTAAGAGGAATCCTGTGGATCTTCTTCTTTAGAGAGAACAGGAAACTGTGTGGAGAGAGGGTGTCCATTCCTTGGCTAACTTGGAATTTCTTACGTGATGTCCTTCTGTCTCGGGGGTCGGTGAATATTCCTCACCACACACTTCACCATCCATTCAATTCCTTCATTCACTCCTTTGCTAAAGGGGGATAAGAAACAGACAAGATTAAGAATAATAATTAAAGCTTATGGAGTCCGTAACTGACCACTTACAAAAGCAAGTAAAGCATCCTGCCCTTCAGTTATTTGTTGCACTCAGTGTGATAGTTTCCTTATGCATCCAAACAACGGGGAACTGATTTTTTGGATTTTTTACATTGTTATTTAAACTGCATCTTTTATTCTTCTGGTGTTTGTACAGGTCCAGATCCAATTTAGTTAGTCATCAACTCTGTGGAAATCTTGGAAGGAAGCATCAAACCACTTGACGGTCAGCTGGTTTGAGGTTATTTTGCTGCCGCAGCCCCCAGGCCAGATGTATCAAGTCTTCCGATTCCATCTCCTCTTTTATGCTATCATCAGTGCTGGGGTTGCCAAGCAACTCCCTGGTTTGTATAGCTTCCCAGTCAGAACTTCCACAATTTTAGTTCACACTCAAAATAAAAATCTTGAGAGGAAATTCCACACAGATCAAAACTAGAAGCATTTCCACAAAACAAACACACAAGTTGTAAAGGTTCCATTTCAGGAGATGATTACCTAACACTTCTCTTCCAGTCAGTGTTTAACCACTGTTGTGATGGTCATTTAACCGTTTAATGGCATTCGATTCTTAGCAATAGGGACAACACATATTTTTCCCCTCACGAGTTGGAAAGTTTTTCTTCTCCTATCAAAGCTTTCTTGCAAGATTTAACATAAGTCAAAGCCCTGCATTCAGGTCAGGCAGACACTAACAGAGATGACAATATTTCTAGCCATCCATAAYAGACTTATACCAAATACCACTTTTAACCCAAAGAACTCACAGTGGTGTATATATGTGTGTATCAGTGTTGAGCAGCTATGTTTTCTTATTTATATTGTCAGGAACTGCAGCAGGCCAACCAGAGCAAGGATGATTATGCTTTGAGAGGAGATGATAAAGCTCCAAACACCTTCAAATCCTGCGGCCCCGAGTGAGTCAGCAGGCAAAGCTTGTACATTTTCAGCACGTTTTGTCCAAGTTATTTACACATGAAGCTACTGACCTACTGCAAGTCCAGGGTCAACAAACAAGTGGCCGTCATTGCTGGGAAGGAAGCAGAGCTCGCTTTCATTTCTACTGCTCCCCAGAGTACTTTTGTCCATACGTGACACCCTGTAACTATTCTGTTAACCAGAACATTCTCATACTTACCCAGTCAGGGCAGAGCAAGCTTGTGTCAGGCAATCTCTCTTTCCAATTTTGTTAATGCAGTCACTAAAAGCAGTCTTGATATCAGGTATTGACAGACAGGTCTGCAAGTAAAAAGCAGAGTTCTTTATGCTACAAAAGACAGTGACYTTCTTCTAAAATGAATCCCACCGGGATCATGCTTCTGTTTCAGTGAGGATTGCACGATGGCATTAGGTGAAACTCCCTTACCCACAAACATTGCAAATTCACTTATTTAGATTCCAAAAAACTGAACACATCTCTACTGCAGCACAGACACCACTCAGACACACATACATTTCTCACTCCCCTCTGATCCTCAGCAGGAATATTTCTAAGCAAATCCAGTCATGAACATGAGCACAACCTGTCCTCCCCCTCTGGATACTCTTCCAACCTTTCCCAAGGATTGCACGCGAGCTCTGGTTGGCAAACATCCTCAGGGGTGGCTGGTGTCTTCCTACGAGCACATTCCCAGAAAATCATTGGGGCAGGATCTGCCCTACATCTCAGCGTGTTCCTCCAGGGTATGTTCCCAGGGAAAATTAGCATGTTCCATGTCCTCCCTGGGCAGGTTTGCTTACATTTCACATGCAGGAGAGCATGGTTTAAAATACACAACTGAATAAACCACCCCAGGAAGCTAATGTATTACTGTCCTTACATAAGCCCCAGAAAACAAACGAACAGCCCTTTATTTTTAAGGGTTACAAAAGCAAGCAAAAAAGTTCAAGAGTACTCATATCACAAAAGACAACATCTGCCCTACTGAAATCTAGATTTGTACGCTTGTTCCCTAAGCATACAACTAGCAATGAGAAAAATCGGCAGCCTTTAATTCCTTTTCTGACCTCAAAATTCACTTTCTCTCGAAGCCTTGGACAAACCATAATGCACTCTAGCTGGCCATGAGCCGAACTTCCTTCTCCTCCCTGCAAAAGCATTTTAGCCCTTCAATTAGGCTCAAATCTATGTGTTGGGCAAGTGTTTGTTGAGATTCCAAGCGAAATCGTGAGGATTAGTCCAAGCGATTGTATACTTTGGAAGTACAGGCAATATGCAAACAGAAATTTTGTCTCCTACAAATCTGGGCCTTAACTGTGCACGAAGATGGAAATGAATGATAACAGCTATCTATTTTGCAAAACATCAGTTCTGGAAAAATTAAATATAGGAAATTACTGTGGGGATGAGTAGGTGACAAATAAGCAGGCTTCAGTATTTACAAATAAGATGGGTTCTTAAGAAATGGGTTTAATGGCACCCAGCTCACCCAATGCCCTTCAATCCAGACTGGTGATTTTCCACTGCAAAAGGCCCCAAATCCATTAATTGTGCAACTTGTGATGATGACTGTATTCTCCTATGACCTACTTGCAGTTTCAATTGATGAGCTGGAAAGTGCATTCAAAATGTTACTCACTTGACAAAAGTTGTAACAAGCTATTTCAATATTTTAGCTTTTTCAAATGAAAAAGCCAAAAATTCATAAAGATGAGCTRTCATCCACTGGATAGTTAAAAAAATGAAATCAAGTATTACAGTATTAAAAACTTCCCCTTTTCTGGCCAATGAAGGCTTCTTAGAGAATGTCAAGTTAATTTTGACGAGGTCAACATTTCCATTGCTTTTTAGAGCCCGTGAGTAGCAAAGACAGCTGGACATGAAAAAAAGCAGCTTAATTTCTACTTGCATTGGCCTGTGCAAAGCAGTCAGGCAACGGACTTGCCAAAAAAGATCAGCAGACCAGGTTACCTGCACACATCCAGGGCAAACTGGCAGCTTCTGTCCCYGGAAGCTGCACAAATCCCATCTCCTTCACCTTGCCTACATGAGGCCTCCGAGAAATCCACCTTGCCAAATATAGCTTAGAGTTGCTGTAGCTCTTAAATATGAATATATATATTAGTTAGCATCTCAAACCATTTTGGCAGTTCCTTTTCTTAGTTCCCAATATAGTCATATTGGCTTGCTCTAACTTCCACAGAACTGCCCAGCCATCAGCTTATGTAAAAGTTTGGTTGGGGATGGATTTTGCTGCTAAGGAGACTTTGCACTATTCACTTTTTTTTTTTTAATAGTCAGCCATCACTACATCACAACACAATTTGTTTTGATATGTAATAAATAGCACAGTACTCAAAGTACAAGAACAAGCAGCAAAGGGGATAACACCACTAAATCTTGCTTTAGTGTCCAAGTGGAAGCCATGAATTAGAACCCTGTCTTAGAACAGAGGAAGAAGTAGGTGAGTCATCATTTAATCCAAAAGCGTTTAAGCTTCTCATCCTTCAAAGAAAAGGTCAGCAGTGGCTTGAGTTTCCTTCCCTTTTCCTCCTTCCTAYCTCTATTAGGAAAATATTTGTTTATAGATGCGTTTTGTTTCTCAATTGAAACCACATAAACCAAGAGCAAATTACRGAAACTGGATCATCTGTGATCACACAAGCAGCCCATTTTCACAACACCAAAATCTACACATGACCTTTCTGGAGCAGTCTTCTCTACTGCACGTTTCAGACAAACCTCCCACAACCTGAAGACCTGTATTTCTATCTCCTCTTTCCCTAAAGTGGGCATGCTAAAATATCTACTACGATGGCTTTTCCAGACAGTCTACCCAGGGTTGACCTGGCTGTACAACAAAGTTCATTTTATGAAGGGTTCAGAGGAGCATTTTTCAAATTTGACAGTCAGAAAGGGCACATGCTGAAGTGCATGAAGAAGCATGGTGGTGATCTCAGAAACAGTCATCCACAGAAAAACATCAGTGGCTCTTTCAGACAGGATTTGCAGAGTCTATTTGCCAAATCCATTGTGGGAAAAGACAATGATGTTGCTTAGCTTTGTATTAGGATTAAATCTGAAATGCAAACAGGCTCTTCAATTATCTCAAGATAATCGGTGAACAAAAGTAAAATTGGAGCTGAGAGCAGAAAGGCTGATAGCCTAGCTAAAAAGAGCAAAAAGTCTAACCCACCTGAGCCATGTTCTGCACATTGTTTTTTAACCATTTGCAGTCTATGCTGAACTTCATTCTCCTGATGCTGTCAAACAGCTCCTGCTTGGCAGCGCTGGGTAGCAGATGCAATTTACTCAAGAGCGGTACTATTAATAGAAGATTTTTTTTTTTTTTAAATAAGAGGAATCCAGAGACAAGGCCAAAAATTATTACAATTCATATGATTTAAGGCACTTCAAGAACTGGGTTTCTGTGAGTCAGACTTGAAACATTTAATAGTTTACTCTGAGAAATGTAATCTTTAAAAAAAAAATCTGTCATACTACTACTGATGCATCGCACCACGAATTCTGCTGGCCTTTAAAGATGTAATCATGAACAGCTGCACTATCCTCCATCTGCGAACACCAGCAATGTTAAGAAATCGTTTGCATTTCCTTGTTAGAATCTCCCTTAACAAAAGGGAGAAGCTGGGGAAAATTCTCTGCTACAATTAGCTTGGACAGCCAAAGCTGAGAAATTTCTGTTAGGGATAATCCATTGTAATGTTTATTTTCTTTCAGAAGTCTTTACTGCTGCTAGATCAGCAGATCTTCTAGCTTTTCTAAGCCTCACTTGAGAGAGCCTGAATAATTATGGCAGAATAAGCTATAGTTCCTTTGATATTTTGTTACTAGCATTCAYGTTGCTTTACCATGTTTTCATACGCAAGACCATATTCTAGAACTAGGCCCCTAAATGTGTGTAAAACCTAGATGTTTATTAAAATTAATCTACTTCCAGTCAGTATGATTTTGCTGATCTCGACACACAACTGTGACTGCAGAAAGGCAGAAAATCTGTGGGTTGGTCTTGGACCCTCTAGAGAGGGCATGAGTCACAGTCTTTACCTTGAAAGCCTGTTCCAGATACCTCTTTCCAGCCATGTTAAGAAAAATCTTCACTTTTTTAATCTCTTTTCATTAGTCCTGTGCCAGAAGAGCTGGCTTTTATAGCATGCCCAGAAAACAAAACATGCCTATACAGATATGGGTAAAACTGGGTCACTGCATAGAGTTTCTTTCTCAATAGCTAAAGGAAAGGCTGCAGACTGCTCCCTGCTGTAGGGCTGCAGTACTGCAGGGAAGTGAAAACTTAATATTCTCATTTCCACACAGAAGACAGACAGTCAGCACTGTCAACGGGTAGAACAGTTCATAGCAAATCCAGGACCAGAAACCAGGAGTCCTGGTTCTTAATCTGATGCTGTATCTTATGTAGAATTAGATTTCTATAACTGTTACAATCATCAGTAAAAGCGAGATTTGCGTGCTGTGTAGGTACAGCCAAATCCTCTTCCGAAAGTGRCAGCTATAGAAGTCTGCAGGATTTCCTACAATGACTTTCTTTGAGATAATTGTGGAAATCCAGGGGAAGCATTAGGATTCTTGAAACAGACACCACAGCTGCAAGTTATGCTATTTCAAACTCCACTGAAAGTGTCTAGCTCCATCTAGAGAAAAATCACCCAAGTTACAGCACTGCAATTCCAGGAACAGCATYCTAAACAGAAGCTCATTAAATTCTATTTTGCTGAATAAACAGGAACAACAACATCAAGATACCAAGTCACAGTAAGGAATAACCACCRTAGTTTCTTATGTTATCACAAATAGTTCAAAATAGCTAGGATATATATATATGTCTACAGTAAGCTAGATGGTATTGCTGCAAAAGAGATGGAGAAGAAGTGAAAAAAAGGAAAAACTAAATTTATAACAATTATTTCTAGTAGAAGGAAGACTTTGTTAGGCACCAGTCTTGGGACATGAAACAAATATAACACGACCATACACAGCTCACCTTTTCAAGTCTCATTTGCTCACTGAATACCTACATTTTAAAAATGATCTTACCTCTACATCCTGCTTGTTAGCTAATACCAGAATGGGAACTCCTTCCAGAGCTTCGCTAGTAACCATCTTCTCTATAAAGCACAGAAACAGAGAACAAGAGAGGTTTAGCCAATTCTAGAAGACAAAGTTGTGCAAATACGTGACACATGATCTAGGCACAGGGAGGAAGCAAGAGGAATATCCCTATTGGTTTGATCCAACCCAAACTTTCAGGACTACATCCTTCATGTTACCTTTTCTTGAGATCAGACTCAAAACTTTATCAACAAGGAAGTTACTAAAAAAAATAACTCAAGTAGTAAACATGGAACGAGAAATTTGAGTTCTGAAATAAACAAACATACAAAGAGATCCCGGGTCATTCTAGGCAATGAAACTGAGGATTATTTCTGGACAAGACCATCAATAATCTTAAATAGCTCACTGACCTCACCACTTTCACCTCAGAAACACAGTCATGTACTATGCAAAGGTTCAAAAAACACAACAAACGTGTCATCAGCAGAACACAGCTTATTTCAATGATACAGAAAGACACACTAATAATGACAGAACGGTGACAATCACGAAATCATAGTGCTGGTAAAATACAGTGTACTCACCAAAAGCTCTTTTAGATTCCGAGAGCCTCTGCTCGTCAGTGGAGTCAATAACGTAGATCACTCCGTGCGACTCTGCATAATACTGAAATGATAACAGATATTGGTGTATGTAGCARCTAGGTTCACCTCTTCTTCACATATTTTAATATACAGGCAAGGAATAACCAGTGAGAGCTAACTATTTCCACAAGATTTGTTTGCAGAGAAGAATGGTGGCACATAAAAGGCTTTGCCTGTCCTGTTCACAGGCCTGCTGAGCCAAATACCTGAAGAAATTTATCTGCAGCCTCCTTTTCTAACCCAGGTGATTACAGGCAGAACTTGCTGTTTCTTTAAACCTGATCTACTGTACAGTTGAGCAATAATTCTCAAGTGACTGTTAACAGTAGCAGCAGGAATACAAGGCTTGATGAAATAATGAAGTCAAGGGTGCATGTGGAATGTTTGCTTGGCCTGCAAATGTACTGCTCTAATATTCTTTGCCAGACATCTGGATTCCGTGCCTTGTGCTCAGGACTCCCAATAACACTTTGGTTTTTAGCTACATTAAATGCTGTCCAGATGACAAGGCTCAGAATTTCAAATCATATTTCATTTTATTTAGAACTAGACTATAGCTTTCATATGAGTTATCCAATATTTCTTTTCAGGTCTCTCTGTGACTTTGGGTAAAAAAACTACCACTAATATGACTTCATTTGTTACAAGGGATAATACTTGCACAGTCCTCACACTGAGGTTGATAATTAGGTTCTGTAAATGATRATGCAAACATTAAGCATCATCTTTGCAAACCTTGCAGATAAAACTGAAACTCTGGAAGAGCTAAAGCTAAATATTTGGGTTACCAGCAAGTCTTTATGAGTACTAAATGACTGTATTTCTCCAATTCTGAAAGAATTATAAGAAAAAGTACTTCCCCAACCTTGTCCCAAAGRGACTGCAGCTCCTCCTGTCCTCCAAGATCCCAGAACATCAGGCGAGTTTTGCCAACATCAATAGTCCCAACTAGAGGGAAAGAAGAAAAACCCAATCCAGTGAGAACAGTCCATATGTTCCAAAAGACTGCATGCATGTAAGGCCCCTAAGCAGGCATGAAACAGTCTTCCACATGACCAAGTCACATTCACTGCTACTTTTAACAAGAGAAGAATACCCTAGAAGATAGTGGCAAATAAGATAAAGTAGAGTCACATCAAAATAAATGAGGATCTGGCCAGCAAACTTAAATGGATCTTAGCTTAACTACTCAGCATAGCCCTGAAATGGGATACAATTCTTGAGAGTTTGTGTTTTTCTCTTCAAAGGCTAAGTGAGTGAATTTATTCTCTTGCAAAAAGAATGTGGAGAGGTAGGAGATAAGATCTCTGTTTATAGGAACCRTTTTCCCCCTGTTAATTCTTCTTCAAAGTGGCAAATCAAGGCAGCAATTTGTGCAACTTCACAGGAGAGGTGGAAATATTTCCACGAGGATTTACTTACTGTTTAAACCTACAGTGGTTGTGATTTTGGACAAACTCATTCCTTTGTAGTTCTTTGTAAATCGAGTTTTAGTTTGTTCAAGGAAGGTCTGAAAAGGAAAAAGAAAAAGTAACTACTCTCAAACATTGTASCAGCCTGGGCAATACTGATTAAAACCTGCCTTTTCCTCATGACAGGAACCTGTCCCAACAGCTAGTGCAGGAGCTAACCTTGGAACAAACCACTCCTCTTGTTCCCTCCTTTAGCAAAGAAAGAGGGGATCCAAGGTGATTATGGAATTACCAGAGTCTCACCTATATCCCTGAAAGCTTATGCTAAATTTAAATACAGGAGAAGAATTGATTCTTGCAGGTAATAACACTAAAGTATTCTGTTAAGAGCTGGACAGACCTGCCTCTTGGAAGTTCTATATTTGGAAAACAGGAATGTTTAGAACCGCAGGTGCCCTCCACATGATTGGTAATTAAGGGTACTTACCGTTTTACCAGCATTGTCCAAACCAAGGATCAAAACACAGTACTCATCCCTCTGGAACATGTATTTATAGAGCCCAGACAACAGCGTATACATCCTGCTCCTGCAACACACACACACCAAGAAATCACTCATAAAGGTGTTTCCAGAAGGCTCTCATTTCACAAGAGAAGTTTTTCCAAAACCCAAGAAACAGATAGTGGTACAACCCCAGGTCAAGTCATAGACCCAAAGTCACAGGGAAAAGAGAAAAACAAACCAAAAAAGGCAGCTTTTCAGATGCACACATGCAGCAGGTCAGCTTGCACAGGCTTTGCCCCTATTTACACACATGGCCAAACTTCCATGGGACACCTCACCCAGCACAAACCCACCGCTCCCGTGGGAGCTCCCGTGGCCGTTCCGAGGCTCAAAGCTGCCAAACTCCCCCGAAGGCTCCGGGGCGCAAACACAGCGTGCAGAACRACACCAGCTGCACACAAATGTCCCAAATAGGGGCTCTGAGTGCAAACACGTTGCACAGCCCCATCCCTACAGCTCTATCGTGGGTCCTTAGTGGCCGCACTGAGCAGGGAGTGCCTCACTTCTAGGATAAGCACAAAAACGCTGCCTATCTCTACTTAGGCCTCCCCCGGCAACCGCCTCCTGCTTTAGCACCCGCAACTCGGCTGTTTCACCCCGCAGGCCCCGCTCCCCTCGCGGCCCGGGCCTCCCCCGCCGCGGCGCCGGGCCTCTGCAGGGCCTCGCGCAGCTGCCACGTCCCCGGGTCCCCCCGCGAGCTCCGGATCCGGAGCACGGGCCCCGCAGCCCCTCACCGAGCACCGGAGACACCTTCACTCCTACCCGACCCCGCGCTCCCCTCTGAGGTACCGGCCGCCCGCGCGGGGCACGCTGGGATATGTAGTTCTCACGCTGCGGGCAGAGCGGCGAAGCCCTCTGGAGGGACTGCGACTCCCAGAATGCCTCGCGCTCCGCCCCGGATAGCCTCTGCGCAGGCGCGGTAAGGGGCGGGGCTATCACCTSGGGGCGGGGGGAGTGAGACGTGGGCTAGAGGAGCCGGAAGTGGGGTGGTGTGGGAGGCGGAAGTTGGCGGGGTGTCATGGCGGTGCTCCAGGGGAAAGGGGGSAGCCGGGGGGTGAGTGAGGCGGGCGGGCGGACGGGCCGGGAGCGGGGGGTCCGGGGTGATGGTAACGTGTCGTTTAATGTTCCCYGCTGCAGGCGCCGCGCCGGGCCGCGCCGGGGCGGAGCGACAGGACGGCGGGTTAGGCGGCGGCCGGCGCGGGCCYCATCGTGCGTGGAAGCGACGCGGCCGCATGTGCTGTGGGAGCCCGGCGAGCGCGACGCGGCCCGTGGGCGCCGCCATGGACGAGGGCAGCCTGGAGGCGGCGATCCGCACGTACCGCGGCCAGCTGCAGCAGGTGGAGCTGGCCCTGGGCCTGGACCCCGCGCAGCAGACGGACCTGCTGCAGCTGCGCCACGACCTGCGGCAGCTCATCGAGCTCACCGAGGCCAGCCTCGTGTCCGTGAGGAAGAGCAACCTCCTGGCCACGCTCGACACCAGCGCCGCCTCTTCCCGCCCCGCCGGGGAGCAGCAGGTCGAGCTGGGCAGCTCTGCCCAGGACGAGGAATACGAGGCTTTTAAGGAAGCTATTGCAGAGCTCGGGGCTGAGGATGAACCTTCGGCTGCTAACRAGGAGATACCGCCACGGGGAGGGGAAGAAACTCATGGGAAAAGTGAATCAAAGTGCGGTGAAGAGGAGGAGTCTGACAAGGAGGAGGAGGAGGAGGAAGAATTGAGTGGGATGAAGGTTAAAGCCCCATACTACAGTTCTTGGGGGACCCTGGAGTACCATAATGCCATGATTGTGGGCACTGAATACTTGGAAGATGGCAGYGTGGGAGTGCGAGTGCTGTATCTCTATCCAACGCACAAGTCTCTGAAGCCCTGCCCGTTCTTCCTGGATGACAAGTGCAGATTTAAAGAGAACTGTCGGTAAAAACGAAAGGGGTGGAGGGAAGATTGTGGCCGTGGCCTTGCCAAGGGTCTTGTCACTCAGGGGGAGAGAATTCCTCTGAAAGTGCCATGTTTGGCTCTTGTACCAGGTGTAATTTTGCCAAAAACGTATTTCTTTCTGTTTTTAAACTCTGACATGGTAASCAGTGGCTTCAAACGGTTTGACTGCATCCTTCAGCTAATGCAGAGAGAAATGGTAAATTCCGTGGGGAAATGTAGGGATTTTGCCTATTCCATTCAGTAGCTAAATTAGTAATGGATGAATTCATTAAAAAAAAAAAGGCCCCTAGATAGTGCATGCCCCCAGGGTGCACAGAGAGGTCCTGGAGGCTCCCCTTTGGAGATTTCAAAACTTAGCTGGATAAGGCCCTGATCCACCCGCTCTGCCTGGGAAGCTGGTCCTGCTGCAGGCGGGAGATTGGGCTGGAGAGCCTTGTTTCTGTCTGATCCTGTTTCTCGAAGGACACCTTTATTTCTTTTACTGGGCAGGCCACTGGCAAGAGGAGCTTAATTCCCTAGCATAGAGTGCATCGCCGAGTGGCATAAACAGTGTCTTTAGGATGAAAATTGAAGGATTTCTTGCATAGGTGAAGTAGTGTGTGATAAAACTTTGATAATTATTGGTGATTCATCGGCGCTGATAAGTAGCTCATATTTTTTTTTAATGAGCTCTTTATCCCCTCTGCAAGTGGGATAGATACAGCGCCTCTTCCACCATCCCTGGCAGGTTTTCCCACGGGCAGGTGGTGTCCGTGGAGGAGCTGCAGCCGTTTCAGGAGCCCGATCTGAGCACCCTGGAGGTGGGCTCGGCCTGCCTGGCAAAGCACAGCGATGGAATATGGTACACGGCAAAAATAACCGGTGAGTCGGYGTGCAGGGTGTCCTGGCAGGCTCTGGTACAGAACGTGGGTGCTTAAGTGGAATTAAAAAGTTGACAATTTTGTTTGGTGATTGAAAAAAACACTGATTAAGTTGTTACAAGTCTAAACTGAAAATTTAGAAATAGTGCCCTGGGCCAAGTGGGGGTTTATTCCCACTTTCTTTCCTCCTTTGACTAGGTCTGAGGGAACAAATTTGCCTTCTCTTTGTCCTCTCTGCAGCCTGTCTTTTGTAACTTTTAGAAATAATTCCCCAAGTATCCACAGAAGCACTGTGGAAATAGCTCTTCATTTCAGTGGACACTTCTCCCTTCTAGACAAAAATCTGGAGCAAAAACATCCATAGTTTTCTTTATACATGTTCYATGGCTCTCCTTGCTCTGCACCTGAAGCTAACTGCTGTGGAAGGCCTTTTGCCTGCTGCATGTTGCACACTGAGCTCCTTTGCAATTGTTCTTCCTTCTGTAGACATTGACAGTGGCTACTACACTGTGAAGTTTGATTCCCTGCTGCTAAAGGAAGCTGTCGTGGAAGGAGATGGTATCATTCCACCGCTGCGAAGTGAGGAAGGCGCCTCCTCTGCTGAATCTGATGAAGACAGCGTTGATGATTCTGGCTACGCTAAAGGTAGAGAGTTAAAAAGAGCCTGAGCAAAACCAGCCTGTGGTCTCGGTTTGCCCTCCTCTCTGGGACCTGCTGAATTACTCTCGTGGCCTGTGGCTGTCATCACAAGTGTCTGGTCTCTGGGGCAGCAGCCTCTTTACAGGTTGCTGGAAGATAGCAGAGAACCTTGAGTATCTGTTGTGTTACAGCTGCTAACTGCAGTCTTTGTTTCCTGCCCATTACTGGGCTAATGAAAGTTGGAGGTTTCCTTGAGAGCTCCTAACAAATGAAAGTAGAGGGTGTCATTTGCAGGTAGGCTCCAAGCTGTGAGTTTGTGTGTGGGTTTTTTTTGTTGTTGTTGTTTGTTTAGGTTTGTTTTTTCCTTTTACTGCCTGACTGAGTTGAGCTAGTAGATAAATCAAAAGGCTTCTTCGTCTCTCTGACAGGTTCGTGTAATGCTATGACTGTAACTGGAAGTGTTTGGTCCTCCCCATGCCTTGATGAAGTGGGAAGTGGGGTTTTACTCTTGAAAGCTGACACAGAGGGAGCCCAAATTCCTCTTTTAAGATTATGCCAGCAACACCTTCGCTGTGCTGCTACCCTAATTACTTCACAGAGACAAAGCTGTGTCCTAGAGCTCTTCACATTTAGCCTAATTGAGATTATTGGATGCTAATGATGCAAAATCAGCGTAATGGCCTAGAGGAGCCTTGTATTAGCATGGTGCAGTGGAGTGTGCAATGATGCTTTCAGTAGATTCACTGCTGAATCGTACTCTAGCGTATGTCAAAGAAGCAGAAACATCTCCAGGTTGTCCTCTCAGGAACTATAAGATCATATGTGCAGTAAATCCCTGCCTAGAGAGGAGTTTTTCTGCTGTGTGGACCTCCCCTACCCTCAGCTGAAGGTTTCCCGCGGCAGGCTTGTGTTTCACTCATCTTTCTCTTCTGTGCCACAGTGATAGACTCGGGCGTCCCGGAGAACGGGGCATGGACTCCAGCTTGCAGTTCATCTTTTGGTGGCTGGGAAGCCCATACTCGTGGCATCGGCTCCAAGCTGCTGGTTCGGATGGGATATGAGTTTGGGAAAGGTAAGGGGAGAGGGCGATCCGGGTGGTGTGAGGGTTTCAGTTTCTTTGCCTGCCTTGCAGCCTTAGTCTCCTGCTCGATGCCAGGGGCTGCTTGCAGAGAACAAGATAGTGCATGAGGCTAAAAGCCCTTTGCTGAAGGCCTGCTAGATGAGGCCTGGGCTGTGTGATGAATCACACCTATGTGGAAGTGTTAGAAAATGAGAGGGGATATTTCCTCTAAGTAGAGGCACATGTGTGCACCAATACCTGTATGGCAATAACAAATTGGAGTAATTTAGAACCCTGAGCAAGCTCCTGATTAAAGCCGTGAGAACTGTTGTGTGTTCAAAGGCTGTAGGTAGAAGGGAACTTGTCTACGAAGCTTGTGATGTCTGTGTTAAGGCACCGTCTGGCTCTAGACACAGACTGCAGAGCCTGCTGAACAAGCTGCTCCCTAGACAGATTGTACTGAGCCTGGGGGGCTTTAGGATGCTGGTCTGCTGCCTGCTTTAGACTCTAGTCCTTCCAGAGGAACCAAACCAGTTTTAAGGAGAACCTGGCTGAAGCAGCTGAGAATGTGAAGCTGAACCTCCTTGCACAGGAACTGGTCTGGCAGAGGGAATGGCCTGGGGCTTTTATCGCTTATCTGCTGCTGCAGAAGCCTCTTGTCGCTGCAGGCATCACAGATGTCTGTGGCCCTTGCTCCCCGCCCCTCAGCAACCCTGATGGCAGTTCAGACTTTGTACTGCTAAAGCCAAGTGCTTGGTCCAAACTCCCGGCTGTCGGTTGCAGTTTGTGGCAACGGGGRCGGGCTTCGTGTCAGGGGCTTTGTGCGTCTCCTCACGGCTTCTCTCCCTCAGGTTTAGGGAAGAACTGCGAGGGGCGCGTGGAGCCAGTGCAGGCCGTAGTGCTCCCKCGAGGCAAGTCCCTCGACCAGTGTGCAGAGGTGCTCCAGAGGAAGCAGCAGGGGAAGCCGGACGCCGGCAAGCCAAGGAAGGGCCGCGGGAAGGGAAGCGGCGCGCGTGGCCGCAAGCCGCCCCGCAACGTGTTTGACTTCTTGAACGAGAAACTGCGGGGAAAGGGCTCCGGAGAGAAGGCTGGAGGGGCAGCGTTGCCACCGAGGAACAGCAAAGAGATTTACCATGCCAGCAAAAGCACCAAGAAGGCCCTGAGCGTCCGGCTCTTCCAAACCATGGAGAAGATTGAACAAACGCAGAGGGATATCATAGGAATCCAGCAGGCCCTGGAACGTAACATTGGACGGTAGGAAAAAGTCCTCTCTGGGCTACAAGAGGAACTGGTCGTGCTTGGCCCTTCTGGGAAGGGATGGGCTTCAAATCAGGTGTYGCAGCAACAGATGAGCCACGTTTGGGTGAGACGTAGGGGGAAGTAAGAGGACAGAGCCTTTCATATGGTCTGCAGACAGCTCGGTCATGAGCATGTTTGTGTGGGATCCTTCAGGTGGAACCAAGCTGTGGGGAGAGGAGCCATTTGAGGGAAGGTACTGGAGTCCTTTCCTTCCCCTGCCCACGTCCAGTGCTGCTGATGGGCGTCCCAGGAAGATTTATACGTTTTCTAGCTCAGGCTGTGCGGAGCATCAGGCAGCTTTCAGCTYGTCGCTCACGCCAGCCCCGTAGGAAAGGGGGGCCCCTCCCAGGATGAGAGCCGACCTCCGCTCTCGGTGCTCAAGGTGACGTTGTTCTACCACCTTCTGCTTTCAGGCACAGCGTCGCTGCGGCTCAGCTGGAGGAGAAGCTGGCGAAYGCTCACAAGCAGCTGGGGCAGCTGCAGGCCCAGGAAGCCAGTCTGCAGCGGGAGCAGAAGAAAGCAGAAACGCACAAGAAAATGACCGAGTTCTAGGCCGCGAGGGAGGCGTGGGGCTGCAGAGCTCTGGGCCTCGGTCTGCCTGGCGTGAAACTGGGCTGAAAAGCAGCAGTTTTACCAAAACTAGATGCTCCTGAGCTTAGCTCTCCAGGGATGGCGAAGGACAGCCTCTGTCCAGCCCTGAAAGCTTGAGCCTTGTGTAAGGCCTGGCTGCAAGATACGTGATTCCCTGCTCGCTTGCACCCTTCTCTGCTCTCTTCCTGCCGTGGTGGTGCCTCCGTTCCGAGTCTGTCGCCGCTCGGGTGGTGCCGGTGCCGGCTGTGCCCCAGCCGAGCAGGGGCTTTGAAGCCCCACATCCTGCAGCAGCTGTGGCTTGTGCTCGCAGCAGCCACGGGAGCGGGGGCAGGTGGGGGCAGGGTCCCAAGCACGTTGTGGCACAGCAGAAAGGGCACGTCCCTGCTCCCGGTGACAGCGGCACCAGCAGATTGCTGCCAGCGCTCCAGTTCCTCGTGGCGGGATTTCTGTGAGATCTTGGTTACGTTCAGAGTGGTTCCTTGCAGCCCTCTTGTGAGGAGCAGAGAGAAAAGTGGCAGCTTGGAGGTGGATACCAGCAGTCTCGAGCAATATATCCCTTCAGTCTAGCTRTACCAGCATTCCCAGACCATGTTATGTCCAAAACCATTGATTTGACCTGGAAAGTTGCATTATTCCCCAAGCAGCATGCCAAAACTGGAGAAATAAGACAGCAGAGTGYGAGAGCCTTAAACCTTCTAGCCAGGAACAACTCTGTGGGAAACCTCATGCTTCTGCCGTCGTTACTTGAGTTTTCCTGTCCTAGATGGTTTGTAGAACAGGGATTCCCTTTAGATTCAAGAAAATAGTCTCAGAAGGTTGTCCAAGGGTCCAGAGGAGATGGTGGTTCCATTGGGCTCTCTTTCTGGTGGGACTCGTTTTTGTTAATAATTTCATGCCAGTATCTTTAGGATGCATTCTTTTTTCCCCTTAAGTTAAAAAAAATCTCATTCCTTTTGTTCTGTGAGTCATTTTTTTTTCTGATGAAAAGTTTTTCATGTCACTTTTTTTAATCTATTTTCGAGAAAATTAAAAAGCTGTCAGTCTGGGCAGGGCTTCCTCTCCTTATAAGGACCAAGCCTGTCTGATTCACTGCCAAGCTAATCAGAAAATCTAAGACTGAAGGAGATAGGATCAGGGTTGTCATGTCATGTGTAATTTAGCATTACTGCAGACACAGCTCGGAAACCACAGAGCAACAGCAAAATGAAGCAAGAAGAGAAATGTCTTCAAGAATCTGTAGCAGCGACTCTTTCCTCCTGGAAGGTGCTGGGATCCAGCTGCATTGGGCACCAAGGTGCCAGCTCTGCAATGTATGAGAGAGGTGACGTGGTCTCCTATCAGCAGCCATGGGCTTTGAGCCTGGCCTGGACCTTTTCCTTGTCCTGCATTCGTGTTCTCCATGCACTGGGCCTAACTTGAGGGTTTAACAATGGTCATTGAGTGCCCTTCCTTCCCAAATGACCATTTCCCATGTCCAGGCGTTGAGCTATGACAAGGACTGATGTCCCCATGTTCACGTAGGCTGAGGCAGCCCGTGACTGGCAGCCACGTTTTGCAGAGAAGACTTTTAGTTTTGCTTTGTGTTCTCACCCTGCTCGGTGTCTTTTATACTTTGTAATATCAGGCATACGAGCCCTTTGTAATATCAGGCGTATCAGCCATGTCCTGGCTAAGCTGCATTTGGATCACTCAAAACTTCCACAGCTTTGCTTGTCCAACTTCCATTGGAACAGCAGCTGCCTCCCGCCCAAGACACCATGAATAAATTTGTTTATTTTCCTTCCCTCGACGCTTGCGAGGCCCCGAGAGGTGGTGACGGCGCGGGGCAGCCGCCGGGCGCTGCAGCTGGCACTAAAGCGGCGCCGGGGGAGGCGGCAGCGGCCGCTCGCGGTGCGTGCCCAGCCTGTTTGCAGCCGGCGAGGCGGGGAGAGCCCCGCGCCGCAGCCGGGGGCAGGCGCCGCGGGCCAGGAAGCGAGCTGTGGTATCGCCGCCGCCCGAGGAGCAGCGCCCCGCGCTGACTAGAGCCCCGTAAAAGGAGCCCAGTTCTCCGGCGGGATCATCGAGCAAGGGAATGGTTGGATCGCCACCTTTCACGCTCGCTGGCTTTTGAGTTTGTGCAAGGTAAGTGGTTGCTTTCTTGCCTTGCAAACGTGGGTATATTCGGCTAAAGTAGGGGTTGGAAACCCCTTCAAGGCGCCCTGTGCAGTTTGCAGCAGTGTCGGAGCTGCTCTTGCAGCTAGCTGGACTGGAAAGGCAGGATTCCTCCTCTTCGGGGCCCGAGCATCCGCTGGGTTATTTACCAAACTTCCAGGCAGTGGCACGGAGCGGTTTACTGCTTGGGCACCCAAAAGCTGGGCTGGGAGAGGAGGAARAGGCGCTCGGACTTGGCTGGGATCCTATGGCTCAAACCTAGAGGTAGAGCGGGAACCACTTGCTCTTTCGCGGAGATCAGAAGTGCGGGATGCTGTCCTGTCCCCAGCAGAAAAAGGAGAAATAATGCAGTCATTTGAGGGCACTGTACTACTTTTATGGTCTTTGAAAGGCTGTTTTTGGAGACCTGAAACTGGAAATAACTACCGACTTCGTGGCAAGAGAAGCACTGTGGTAGGAGGTGATTCTGGGCGGGAGGGGAAACCTGTGTCCGTAATGCCCTCATTCCCTAGTTTTTGGAGTCTGGCTTTCTGTAAATTCCTCTCTAAATGCAGCGCTGAGGGCTCGGCAGGGCTTGCACCCGCTGCAGCTYGTCTGTTTAACAAACCAACATCCTGCAGTTGCTCCGCAAGTGCTTAGACGTGCAGTTTTGTGCCAAAGTGGGTCTGTTTTCAGCAAATGCAGAAAGGCACAAAGGAGAGAAGGTGCTGGAAGAACTGCAGCCTCAACTGAAGCCGCACGGCAGGAACAGAAGAGTGAGAGCTTGAAGGTAAGTTTTCTGTGCAAGCCAGTCCAGCATGAGCAGCAATGGGGCTGTCATTATGAGCATTGCATGTCCCAGTTTTGGGACATTTGGGCCTTCAGCAAAGTAGTTGGTCCTTTATAAACTAAATAACTAAACCCAATAGGAGCTCAAGCATGAAATGGGTCTCCAACTTCGCTCGTGCTGCCGAAACCCAGGCAGAGCGAGTGAGACCTTGTGCCAGTTCCACATTGGAAATGGTTTCTTTAAGATTTAGTGGTTATACGTCCCGCTGTTTAGGGCAGGTTAAACCTTGCTGACGTAACCATGACGGGGCTTTCGGGTTTGGGGATTGGAAAAAACAAAAGCAAAAAAAAAAAAAAAAAAAAAAAAAAAAAAAAAAAAAAGCCATTTCTGCTCCTTGAGCTGCTTTTCTTGCCGGGCTCCCCAGGGCGCCCTCGCAGCCACATCCACAATTTCTGGTGCAAATCTGCCCGCGGTGTCTGCCCCGCTTCCCTATCCAGGTGGCTTTAGTGGTTTCATGAACTGGTTTTCCTCATCGTCCCGCACTGGATATTGAGTGCCTGTTTAGCTGAATGGGAGGCCAGGCAGAATGATAGTGGCAGAGCTCAAATATACACCAAATCCACTCTTAGCATCGGGGCTCGGCTGAGAAATTGAAGTGCAAACGAAGCGGTTTAAGGTTTTGTTGCTGTTAGAGGGACCGCAGAGCCCGGGAGCCGGAGCCGCTCGGTGCGGCTTTGCACAAACTCTGTCGCGCRCCGGGTTTGGGTCTCCAGCAGCCGCCTGTGCTGGGGTGATCCGTGTAATTAGCCAAGGCTCCGGTGCAAAAGCAGCGCTAATTAAAGCACCCTCGGAGGGAGAAGCCAGCTCTGGTCTAAGCCAGTCCGCCCAGCCCGGTTAGTCCCGTAAACCCGTCTCCGTTTCCACACTGAAGTAATTGCTCTGCAGGGCTCGGGGAGCAGGGAAGGACCCAGAGGTGTGGGAAATCCGCAGGTAAAAGTGCGGCGGGTGAGCAAAGCGGGTCCTGGGCTGAGGGCGCTGGCTGGTAGGGGAGAAGAGCAGGATGGATCCATCCCTCCCTCCAGCCTTCACCCACGGAGGGATGGGTGGAACCTCTCTGCTCTCCCTGTTCCTGGGGTCCTTCCCTGCTCCCGATGCTGCAGCGGGAGGGATGGGAGCCCGGCTGGGGGGCACTGGGCTGCCTGGCTGGGCATCGCTCCCCATGGAGGAACCTGCTCTCAACCTCAGAGGAGGCTCAACGGGCAGAGCTGGGGCAGGGAAGCCCCGCCGGGCCCTGGTTGCTGTGCGAGGGTCACACGAGGCAGCTCGGGACTGGGCCAGGTCCTGCTGGGATCCTTAGGATCGTTATCATGAGGAGCCGGCCACCCTGGCCCAGTTACTGCATCCTCCTGGAGCCCCCTTGTGCCCCCGTGTTCACCAGGCCGCCAGCTACCCTGGCCTCGCTGGGGGCTGCACAGACACGGGGAAAACTCGGGACCAAGATGTTTTTCCACCCAGCAGCAGCCGGGGGGTCTAGTAACACACTGATYTGGGGGGAGGAGAAGGGCTGAGCGCTGCCTGTGAGGTTTGCACCGAGCTGCGGCTGCCATCCCTGCTTGCACCCGGGCTCCTCGGCTTCTCTTGCCCTGGATTTACTGCAGCTCGGTGCAACCGCAACGCCTCGGTGCACCCGGRCTGCGTGGCTGCAGCCACAAGGGCGCGGTGCAGCCGTGCTGCATGGGTGCATCTGCACCAGCTGCATGCACCAGTGCTCATTTGGCACGGCTGCGCCCAYGGCGGCTCCGTGCAGCCGCGCTGGTTCAGTGCACCGGGCTCGCTGGGTGCATCTGCAGCCGCTGCGCCCGGGCCAGCTCGGTGCAGCCGTGCACGCTGCTGCAGGCAGGGCCTGGTGCTCCCGCCCTGCCACGGAGCCCAGGCCCGTTCAGAAAAGGGCCCTGACTTTGTTCTGAGGCTCTCAGGGAGCGCGGGGGAGGCTGGGGAAGGGGCTGGGGAAGCTCGGAGGGGCACAGGGGSCTCTGGTTCCTCCCTAAAGCCCCCAGCCCTGCGGTGCCCCTTGGGGGCACAAGGAGAAGTGGCTGCGGTCTGGGGGGGTTGTAGCCATCTCTGCACATCCTCCTGTGCCCACGCTGCCTGCGGGGACAGCGGGCACCACACGGGGTGACCCCTCTCCTTGCAAAGCCCTCGGGGATGGGGGTCACATGGAGACAGGCAGTGGTCCTGGGGACAAGCAGGCGTCCTGGGGGCAGTGACGCAGCCTGGGGCTGCAGGGCTCCGGCAGCTGCTTTCCCATATTGGAATCGTGAGGCCGAGTGGAATATCGGGGTGGGAGGCCGGGATGAGCATCTTGAGCGGCCTAACGTGGCACCGGTGCCCAACTCGCTCCTGTGTCCATCCGCAGGGCACGGGACGCAGCCGGCCCATGGCGGCGGCGGCGGGCGAGGGGCGGCCGGGACCCCCGCGGCTGCCGCCCGGGGCGCCCCTGGCCCTGCTGGGCGCCCTGCTCTACCTGGGCGCCCTGTGTGCCGCCTGCAGACGGTAGGAGCCCCCAGCCCCCCGGCGCCCTGCTCGGCTTCTGCTCCCGGGGACGCTGCAATGGGGAGGGCTGCTGCCTGCTGCTGCTTGGGGCATCCCGCTGGGGGGCATGGAGCATTCCTATGGGGGGCATGGAGTATCCCGCTGGGGAACAGAGCATCCCACTGGGAGCATGGAGCATCCCAGTGTGGCTTGGAGCATCCTGCTGGGGGTCATAACATCCCMTCAAGGGCATGGAACATCCCAATAGGGACACAGAGCAACCCTCTGTGTCCCCAGTACGGACACAGAACAACCCTCTGGGGACACGGAGCATCCCACTGGGGCGTGTAACATCCCTCTCTGGGCATGGAGCATCCTGCTGGGGTACATAACGTCCCACTGGGGGCATGGAGCATCTCACTGGGGATAGGGAGCATCCTGCTGGGGTGCAGAACATCCCTATGGGGACACGGAGCATCCCGTTGGGGTGCATAACATCCCTATGGGGACAGGAATCATCCCGCTGGGGTGCATAATATCCCGCTGGGGGCACGGAGCATCCCGCTGGGGACATGGAGCATCCCGCGGGATGGATGCTCTGCCTCGTGCACCCCGGCTCAGCCGCACGTCCCCTYGCAGCAAGGCCCGGAAGCAGCAGCCGCCGGGGGACGCGGTGAGGCTGGTGGACAAGGTAAGGGGGCAGCGGGGCCGGGGGGCACGGCGCCCACGGGCAGCCCGGCGCCCACGGCCCCGCCGCCCGCAGGCCCTGCTGCAGCGCGCGCAGCTGCGCTCGCTCAGCCGGTCGGACACGCGGCTGCACGAGCTCCTCCGCGTCAGGCCCGAGGGGCAGGGTGAGTTGCCACCATGGGATGTCCCCGTCGTGTCCCCCAACCCGTGCGTCCCCATCACCCCCAAATCCCTCTCCCGCAGGTGCGCGGCCGGCCAGCGCGGAGCTGCTGCAGGCGCCGGGCGCCGCGGGCAGCGAGATGCTGCAGCGGGCGCTGCCGCAGCCGCCGCGCGCCCGCCCGCCCGAGCAGCCCTACGACAACCTGCCCGCGGCCCCCGTGCGCTGCCCCGCGGCCCCCGCGCGCCCCCCGGTCCTGGCCCCGGCCACCGCTGACTACGCGTGCGTGCGCAAGGCACCCAGGGCGGCACCGCGGGACGGGCCGGCCCAGGAGCCCCGTGCCAAGGTGAGGGGCTTGTGCCCACCGGGACACTCAGTGGGACCCGGGTCACGGGTTGCACYGACGGGCTTCAGGGTGGGGATTAGGGAAAATATCTCCAGGGAAAGAGAAGTCGGATGCCGGAACAGGCTGCCCAGGGAGGCAGTGGGGTTGCTGTCCCCGGCAGTGTTTGGGGAACGTGTGGAYGGGGCGCTGAGGGCCACAGGGTAGCGGGATGGTGGCTGGGGGAAGCGATTGGACTTGGATGATCTTGCAGGTCTTTTCCAACCAAAATGACGGGCTGAGGGCTGGGGTGGCCGCTCAGGGCGCTCGCCTTGCAGGTGGAGGACATGTACTCGACCGTGTGCAAGGGCGGCAGAGGGAGGGCGCCGGCGGCCGCTGCAGCGCCGGGGCCGGCGCGGGCGCGCGAGGCCGCCGCGGAGCCCTGCTACGCCTGCATCGCCGAGCCCCACTACGAGGCCGTGGACGGCGCCTGGAGCAGGGCCAGGGACGCGCCGCGGCCGCCCGAGAACCTGTACGAGAGCGTGGGCCCCGCGCGCGGCACCGCGACGGCTCCCAACGGGCTGCACGTCTACATCACCAACCTCTAGCTGCAGCCTGCGGCGCTGCAGCTCCACGCTGCTGCGTGCCCGTGGAGCTGCGTGCCTGCAGTGTTGCAGCCCCATGGAGCTGCATGCCTGCAGTGTTGCATCCCCATGGAGTTGCATCCCTGCAGTGTTGCAGCCCCATGGAGTTGCATCCTCTTGGTTTTGCATCCCCATGGAGCTGCATCCCTCTGGCGTTGCATCCCCACAGCCCTGCAGCCCGGTGGTTCAGCAGGAACGGAGGGCACGGTGATTCAGGGACGGGGCAGCACACTCCTTACCTCCGCTCTCCTGTATATACATCTATTTTCCATATTATTCTTTTCTCCCTTTTCAAGCTGCTTTGGCCCATTCCCGCCTGCCCGTGTCAGGGTGTTTGGGTGCCAGGGGCTGCGTGTGCCAGGGCAGCACAAGGGAAACATCGTGTGCGGGGGGGATCTCCCGTGTCTAATTGATCTGAGCTCCTGCCATGGGCAGGGACTGCCCCGTGGTGACGGGTGCCCTGGCAATGCCAGGGATGCAGCCACGTGCGTGGAGCCAGGCATGGAATAAACACATGTGGATGGATGCTCCTGGCACGTGGAGGTGGGAAATGGCCTGACCCCCACTGAGGGGACACTGGGGATATGGAAGACACTGGGAATATGGAAAACTCTGTCCCCACATGGGAACTGGGAGAGCCACTCATGGGACAGGATCCCTGGGCSAGCCTGCAGTGTGGGAACACGGTCGCCTGCAGTGCAGGACATTGGCCACCAGCAATGCACGACCTGGGCCACCAAGTGCTGCAAGACCTGGGCCACCTGCAGTGCAGGACCTGGGCCACCCAACGATGTGACGACACCCGGGCCACCCTGCAGGGTGGGAGCAAGGCTGCCTGCAGTGCAGGACATCGACCACCTTCAGTGCAGGACCTGACAACACGACACCTGGGCCACCCGGCAATGTGGCACGTGGGCCACCTGCAACGCAGGACCACGGCCACCCAGCGCTGCAGGACCCCGATGTGCCACAATGCGGGCCCTGGGCCCCCCTGTGGCCCAGAATCGGGCCCCGCTGTGCGAGCGGAGCCGGGCCRCCCCGCAGCGCCCTGAGGGAGCCCCGGGCCCCGCGCGGCGCCAGCTCTTGTGCAACGTCGCGAGACGGCGGCCGCGGGACTTGCATAATATTTAAATGGATTAAAGAAGCCAGCTCAGCATTTCGGTGTTAAAGATTAAACGAGCCGGGGGGGCAGCCAGGGCCCCCGTGATAAAGCCGGGACTTGCTCTGTTAGGAGCGTTCCGGGGTGGAGAGGCACCGTTGGCGGCAGGGACCTGCTCCTTCCTCAGCTCCTTTGGGGCTGCGTGCAGGAGGGCGCCAGGGCCCCTTTTACCTGGGGGTGCTGGGTCCCCTTGTACCGCCCGGGGTACCACGTCCCCTTGTACCGCCCAGGGTACCACGTCCCCTTGTACTGCCCAGGGTGCTGGGTGCCCTTGCACTGCCCGGGGTGCCAGGTCCCCCTATACTGCCCAGGGTGCTGGGTGCCCTTGCACTGCCCGGGGTGGAAGGCTCCTGTGCTCCGCGGCCGCCTCCGCCTCTGTTTCCCCAGCAGCCGCGGGGCAGCGGGATAGGAGGCCGGAGGGATGGAGCAGCCCGGTGGCCGCTGGCAGGGCGGCRCCAGGGATGAAGGCTGCTTCATCCGCACTCCTCCTCCTCCCGCGTCTTCCACAGTGCTCCCATCCCAGCCTGCGGATTCAGGAGCCCTTTTCCCAGGGGCTCCGAGCTCATTCCGTGCTGTTCCATCAGCGCTGGGGTGGCACCTGCGGCCACCCAGGGACCAGGACAGCGGGGACACCCGGGTTATTTGGCTGAGCAGCTCTGCTCTGCGCGGCGCGGGAGGCAGCTCCGGGCGCACCCGCCGGGCACGCGCTGCCCTCCTCCCACCAGCACCCGCAGCTGCGGGAAACACCTTCCCGGCGGTGGGAACGGGARGGAAATGTGGCAAAGCCCCCCAGGGACCAGGCTGGCGGCCGCACCGGGAGCGCATCCCGCATCCCTGCGGAGCTGCGCACGGATCCGCAGCTCCCGCCTCCCTCCGTGGCTGTGCCCGCCGTGGGACATGCCCGGCACCGTGCCATTGCCAACACGCTGCCAGCCGCTGCCCCGGGGCTGCAGCCGGGGAATGACGGGGTGTCCCTGGGGGCAGTTTTGGGGCAGTTTCATAATTTTTTGGGAGTCTTGCAGCTTTCGGGGAGCCTTATAACTTCTGGAGCACTAACACATATGGACAAGTGCCTATAACATATAGGAGTGCTTTAACTTTGAGGAGGTGCCTATACCTTCCAGCGGGTTGATAACTTCAGGGAGGGCTGATAACTTTTTGGGGGACACCTAAGGTTTGGGGGAGCTATAACTTTTGTGGAAGCTCCATAACTTATTGAGGGCTCTGTCAACATCGGAGACTCCTATAAATTTAGAAGACACCCTATAATTTTGGGGGGAGCATTATAAATTTTGGGGGAGCCCTATAATTTATGGGGTGCTATAACCCAAGGGCAATCCCTATAACGTCTGGAGGAGCCCTATATGAAGTAGCATCCCTTATATCTTTTCCAGGAGCTCTGGAACTTGGAGGAGAGCACCATAACGTTGAGGACCCTATAGCTTATAGAGGGTCCTATGACTTTCATGGAGCTTTGCACGCACACAGCATTAGGAGGAGCCCTTTTAACTTTTGGGGAGCCCTATGAGTTTTAAGGAAACCTACATTCTGGGGGAGACCCCTGTAACTTCTTTTGGGGGGGTTCTTATAACTTTTATAGGAACCTTTTAAGTCCTGGGGAAACCTATAATGTTAGGGGAGAGCCTGGTAACTTTTGAGGGAATTCTACGACTTCGGGGGTCCCCCAATAACTTATAAGTCCCCCCCCCTTACATGGGGTACCAGGTGACTTGATGGGGCCCTATATTGTATGGGGGGCCTTATAACCCTGGGGGGATACAACTTACGGGGGGGTATTAACTCTGGCTGGAGGCTATCGGGTTAGAGCCACCCTTGTAACTCCGGGGACGGACTGTAACTTAGCGGGAACGTTTAACCGTCTCCGGAGCCCTACAGCACGGGCGCAGCCGTGTAACTGAGCGGGGGAGCRCAAAATTTCGGGACCTCCGTAACTTATGGCGGAGCAGCAACTTTGGGGAGGGGGCGGGGGACTTTTCGGCGGCCGGTGGCGACGGGAGGCGGGCGCGGGGGTGTCGTGGGCCCGGTGCGAGGGGAGGGGGCGGCGGCGCGAAGATGGCGGCGGCGGCGCCGGTCCCTCAGGCCGGG